TCGGCCTGCTCCGTCTCTGCCGCTTGCTAGCTACGCCTCGGCTGGCGCAGGGGGCGGAACCACGCATGCGCGGCACTCCCAGGCAGGGAAAGTCCTCGACTTACGACCGGTTTAGTCCTCAACTTACAACCGGTTTAGTCCTCGACTTACGACCAGTTGGGGTCGCGGCATTAAAAAGGTTGAGAACCACTGACATAGTTGAAGCCAAAAACTGAATTCCCTCTACTGGCACAAAGTAGCAAAGCACAATTCTCTCATCCAATTAACAGTCATAAATCACATTCCCCAATTAACTTGAAGTGCGGGCTTTCTCCCCATCTCTCCTGCCCGCCAAATTTCTATCAAATCTGGACCTAATAATGTTGGGTTGTGGTATCCCAACATTATTAGGTAGGCCCCCGTGGCCTTGGAGGTGGTTGTTGCTGGATCCCCATCGGTTGCGGGGCCCTCAGAGGTTGCTGCACAATTGTAGGCGGCGGCCAGCCCCACTGCTGCTGCTGTACTTCCAGCAGTTGCAGACTTCCTGTTGGCTGCATCACCCTCAGTTGTTGCAAGGCCCCCATCTGCTGCTGCACATTTGGGGGCTGTGGCCACCCCCAGTTCGGTTGCTGCACAGCCAGTGACTGCTGGCTTCCCATCTGGGGAGGCTGCGACATCTCCATTGCTGTATGGGTCCCGGGCTGGGTGGCCTGTAAGCATGTTGATCTAGGGTTTGGCTGTCCCAGTGACAGCTTGGACTCTTATCTCGTTGGCGGTGATCAGGGCTTCTGGAGGGGCGACGGCTGGAGCTTTCTCTCCCCGCAGGGCCACGGTTGGTGGCTTCGAAGACGGGGAAGCTGCCTGACCTGCACAGATGGGACTGGGGCTTCCCCTTGGCATAAGTTGGTGGCTGTCGCGCCGATCATCATGATTACTCAATGTATGGGGAACAGGAGGGTTGTTCTCCACTTCTCATTTCTACCTCTTCAAATCTCTCCACCAATTTCTCCACTGATTTGACTACAGGCTGCGGACAGGTACTTGCACTCACCCGAGTCCTCTGCGGTAGTCGATTTCGTGGTTTTCCACTGGTCTGGGGAACACAACGTGCGGGAAGCCCCTTTGCAGCTTGATCTCATCCACCTTTGAAGCACTTGATCGTGGCAAGGCTGTCTCGAGGTGTCTAGAGTCTCCACTGGGTATGGTCCATTCTGACGACCAGATCAGCTGTCCTCGCTCTCAACTGAGAGGCCTAAAAAAGTTCCTTCTCCACTGGCGCTCTGCCTTGCGCTCCCTCTTCTGAGGTAGCAGCCACTGCCAGGGTGCTGGTTTCAGGCACTCCTTCCTTCTCCATGCCGAGATCTTCCCCGAATCTTTGTCGGTGTATCCCCCAATTCTAGGGACAGCGACTGGGGCTCGGGACCCCAAGATAGTTAGGTAAAAATTGGAGTTTTTGGCTTAATGTCATGGTTCCGACAGATGAATCTCTTCAAAAGAACTTCGAGGCATTGTTTTCCTTAAAGAATCTTTTATTCGAGAAACAAAATATTGGCACTACATAGTTGAAGTCAAAAACTGAATTCCCCTCCCCTGGCACAAAGTAGCAAAGCGCAATTCCCTCCTCCAATTAACAGTCATAAATCACATTCCCCAATTAACTTGAAGCGCAGGCTTCCTCCTCATCCTGCCTGCCAAATTTCTATCAACTCTGGACCTAATAACCTTGGGTTCCCACGTTTGAGTTATTATTGTTATTACTAGCTGGACTCTCATCCATATTCCCCCTTCCAGCATCAACGAACTCTAAAAGCGATAAAATATGGCTACATTTCCATCTGTTGTCAAAGCAAGAACATCCAATGTTAGCAGCGTTGACACCTATAGTTAATCTGATGTAACTATGTGCATGATCCATAGTTGACTAAAATAGTATTTCTCTGAAAAATTTTGTAACATTCATGCAGTTTAGCATAACTTGAATTCATCCCAGTTCTATTTAAATTCTTTAGTTCCTTTTCAAAACAGGAAATTTTTAGCTGGGAATAAAATGTGATAATATTGATAGGTGTTCCATTGACTGAGTTCAAGCAGTTTCATATCCTTATGCCAATGTTTCAGTGAAAAGTGAGAATATTTCCCCAAGATCATACTTTATCTCCTCCTCCTCGTGTCAATAAAACTTCCCTTCCCCAGAAAGCATATTTTGTTGAAAATAGAGAAGTTTATTTGAATTGAAACAAGAAGTTCATAGAGGAAATGGTGAAAATGCCAAGGCCTGATTAGCAAAATGATTCTTAAGTTATATCCAAACCTCCAAAATATTTATAAGATTATGCCTGTATGCATTGTTTGCTTAATTCCTCTAAGAATAATTACAGATAAATTACAATGTGCTTTCTAAAAATATTCCTTTTGGGGATATCTAGACTGGGCATTTATTATGCCACTGCCTCCGCAATGAAGGGGATGTTATCTGCAATTACACTTCACTTGGTTTTCTACTTGTAAATCTCCTGTTTTCCCATTGCTTCTTCAACTTCCTTTTTTACAGTATCTTTCATTATAAAACATTTGTGCTTTTATTGGTTATAGGAAGAGTTAAACATTCAGTAGAAGCTGCTACAGTGCCTCCATAATTGCTTTGGGTAGCAAAACTTATTTTGTCTATGGATTTGTTACAATGATTACAAAAATAGACAAGAAAATAACAACAAATAATGGATTAAACACTGAAAAAAATCGTTCTAATTACTGCTGACAACTTAAATGCAAAAGTTGGAGAGAAACTTCTATGGAAAACTGCTGGAAAGTGTGAGTTAGAATGGTACAATGATCCGGGACAATAGTTAAGTAGATTTTTGTGTAGAAAATGGTCTGTTCATTGCTAATAGGCTTAGTTTAGGCCAGACTCACCTGTCCTGGGCTTCCCAAGGTCTTTGCCACCCCATGAGGTACCCCAGGCTCTGCTTTCCACCTCTTGGGGTTCCCATAGATCTTGGGACTGCTTCCCATTTAGCCACTCAAGGACTTGCAGGAGAGGGCCTGCTCCTCAGCCAGCTCCAGGGCCCAGTAGCACCAACTTACCTTTCTGCTTTTTGAAGCTTCTGAGAGAGGTAGCCAGCTGATGTGATATGAGACTCAGCTTTCCTAACAGAGACAGCCTGGTGGCAGTGGTCATAACTTTGAAACTAGGACATAAATAGCATTTGGGAAGAGTCTGTCATAACTTCAAATGGTCGCTAAGTCACTGGTCATACGTTAAGGACTACCAGTAATCCAGTCCTTAAAAACAGATGTTTAAAGGAATTTTCAAACCAAAGGACAATTACATAATTACAGTCTAATTATCCAAATATTATTTTTCAGATACAGTGGAAAATCCTTTAGATGAAATTAGTGCCCTGTAAGGAGAAAGTAGTGGCAACTGAATATTCAAGCTCCAGAAGGAACATGAGGTTGCATAGTTAATATTGATGGAAACTAAAAAATAAAATCAAAAAGGACTCTACTTTTGTTTTATAGTTTACTCCAAAACTTTTGATTGTATTGACCATTCAAAACTTAGGAAATCTCTGAAAGTAATGGGTATGTTCCAGTATTTGATCATTCTGATAAGTGATTTCTGAAATAGCCAACAAATCATGAGGTGGAGGCAACAGGAATGCACCTGCATAATGCAGGGAGAGACACAACAGCTTGGAGAACATTTTTTCCCATAGGATCATAGTAGTGGGCCAAGATTGGATGGAACACAATATTAAGAGGTAAAAATGCAATTCAAGCAATTTCCTCCAATTTTGCTCTTTTAGCAAACTTACACCCATTGATGTTTTCATCTGCTGTTGAAAAGTATTGCATGTAAGAAAATAATGCCAACTCATGGCCATGGAGACAGCAGCCTTCTTAATTTGCAGGGCACTTAATGAGAATGATAGCATGACATTTCTGTTATGATCAATCTATTCTTATTTACTTTATCAAAACTTACATCTGTGAAAAATCAGGCTAGTACTTTCAAAAAAGTTCCGGGAGGGCAACATATGGAAGCAGAAAGGTGATATCCCCTTACATTGTAGCGAGCCTACATCTTGTATTATAATAAAGGCCAATCCTTTATTTCAGAAACCTGACCTTCAGAGTTATTTTTTCTAGTTCTCGAATTTTCCTTTGTAAATCAAATTTATAAACACAAACCATTATTATTTTTTAATCCTTGTGAACCTCTTTCAGATTTGCCCCTTTCAGGTTTCTCTCCCCCACCCCCCCAAGAAAATATGGCCACTACGTGCATCTTACATGTAAGGCTCTGAATTGATAGCAAGAGAGATCGGCTGAGTAGTACCAAGCAGATCACTCCGGAAACGGGGATTTCAATTCAGCTCTAGGGTTGTTAACTTTTGTTGCGGGTTGCGTCTTTTGCGGACGAGCATCTTCAGCTTCAGTTCAATGTTAAAAGTTTATCCCCTTGGTTTTTTTCCCCCCCCTGGAGTTAAGTTACTAAAAAGTCCACAGGCCCCGACCGGAATCTACTTTTGCTTCTTGATGTGGCTAAATTGGCCATAGTAGCTCCTTGCTGGAGGAACCCTATGGCGAGGCTGCTGCTTTTTCTTCCTGTCCTTCGGCGAAGCGTCCGTCCGTCGCAGCAGCCCTGGCCAAGGCCCAGGGAAGAGGTTCCTCCAGCCCTCGTAGAGCTTCCTGCTTTCTACAAGGTGCCGAAGAAGCCGCTTCTCTGCGGCAGGAACTGAGCGAGGTAGAAGAGAGGCTGGGAGGGAGGTGGTGCTTTTACGGCCGCCGTCACGCCGGGCCGGGCCGGGGAGGCGAAACAGCGAGGTTCGGGCCACCCTCGGCGACGACGCCTGGGAGCCGCACGCGACCCCGACCTACTCCCCTTGGGACGCGGGGCTAGAAGAAGCGAGCGAGCGAGCGAGGAGCCGGCGCGTCCCTTCCCTCTCGCCCTCCTTTCCCGCCCGGGCCGGACTGGCGCCTGCCTTTTCCCTTCAGGGGGTGCCGCCGCCTCCTGGGACCCCTCACCCCGAGATGCGACCATGGACTGCAGGATCAAGTAAGGGGGGTCAGTGGAAGCGGGGCGGCGGCCCAAAGTCGGCTGAAGGAGGGAAAGGCGCTCGCCGGCCGCCGCGGAGAGAGCGAGGGGAGGCGTCAGGCTAGGCCTCAAAACCACCCCCAGCCCCACTTTGCATGTGCGCGGCGGCTGAAGAGGAGGAGGCCGGCCGGGGACGGGAGCCGAGATCAGCAGGAAAGGGTGGGGGGGGGGAGAAGGGAGCGGAACCCCATCCCTGCTTTCTGGCGCGCGTCTGTCAGGGGCTGCACTCCCAAACGCGCTCGGAGGGGAGAAATCCCTTGGCAAGCACTTGGGTTTGCTTAGGTGGGATCCGCCGGCTCGTTCTGGGCTTGCTTTGTCTTTGGTAAAAACTAGCTTCTCGCCCAAAGCGACTCTCCTCCCCCTCCTTGCCTTCGCAGAATGAAATCTGACAGTCTTTTTTTTTGAATGGCCGACGGCAATACCTGCATTCCTCTGTCTCTGGTCTGCCTTTGCTTGGCTGTGCCTGCTGCGGGTTTACTTTCTTGACCAGTACTTGACAGCAAGTGACAGTGCAGACCTCCCTAGTAAAGGTCGGACAACACATTTTTTTTTTTTGCAGAATGAAGTCCAATAAGAAACACAACAGGCCAAGGCTGGTGTTTTCTGATCTATTGGCAACCTACAACCCATGTGAAAAACTTCTTTATCATGCACAGTCTCTGCACCTGGGTATCTGAAGGTGTCATTCCCCCTTTCCCCAATTGATAGGATTTGAAGATTAAACTCTAAAGTACTGTAGTGTAATGCCAGGTAACAATTTGATAGGAGCACCAAAATGCCCCTGCATTACTGAAAAGATAGCATGTGTGGCAAGAGTGGGCAGGAGGGTGTTAAAAGTTGGCAAGGAATTTCCCATGACTGAGTAATGTGAGTAGAATGATGCCACAGAATTAATGGATATAAATATTTTCTGTTTTTCATAATTTCCACAGTGGGTTGGAAAAATATACACCATTTGAACGTCTACGCCAATTCCAAGGGAATTATTTTTAAAGTGAAAAATGAATTAACTTTTTTCTCATTTGGTGATTGCGCTTAAAATCTTGACCTTGCAAGCCTTGCTAAATTTTGCATTCTGAACTATTTTTGCAAACCGACAATGATCTGTTCATGGTGAGCCAGCTGGAATAGACATAAAAGCCCTTGCCCAACACACATTGAACTGATTTGATACTTTATGATGCAAAGTGACAAAATTTGAAAAGCCTTTTTGTGGAAGCCTAGAAGCAGTTACACAGAAAACAGAAATATTGACCTATGAGATGTTTATCTAGTTTCTAAAGAAGTTGTGGTTATAGTTGAAGAACCTGTTATCATAGAAGTTTTCTTTTCAGTCATTGTGGGTAGTTCTGGAGTTAGCAGACTCAACTACACAAACCATTGCAGGAGAGAGCTCAGTTGCAAATCCTATTATAGCTGCAATCTTGTATACAGTTACTAAGGAATAAGTCTTCACAGAAAGACAAATTTCAGATTGAGCAAGCATAGTATTTACATTGTGTAAAGAAGCATAACATTTTATCCAGAAGTTATAAATGATTGGTTTTTAAGGGTAGAAGCCCCATGAATATAAATTTGGTAAAATGATTTTATGACTATTTTAATACATTGAATTTTGTGTTCCACAACACATACGTTTATGGTTCCTTAAACAACTATGTAGTTTAACTTTCTTGAATGTAGCACATTCAGTTCCAGTTACTGTTTAATATCTGCTACTTCTGGCCTTCTATTTACATATTTACTCATTTTCATGGCCCAACAGTTATGTAACCAAGCAGAGAGTGACTTCTTTATTAGAGTTGGGGGGGGGGGGGAAATGCTCACATGTTATCTGCATGAAACAGTAATATTTGCAAGCTCAAGTAATTATTGAAGAAGTTACAGTTTGCTTATTGCTCCTCAGTTGTTCTGTCTTAGATTATCCATTCCCATTCTAGCACTTTTTTGTATTTTGCGAATAATTTCTTTGAGTTATTGGCTGGAAATTCTAGAAGTTTAATTCCAACACAATTGGAAAACATGATTCAGGGAAAATTTAATATTAACAAAATTTCATTAGAGATGATTGTAAAACAAAAATCCATGCTAAGCCATAAGGCAGTTTCCATAATTGTACATCTGAGAGCAATCTTTCCTTAAGAAATTAGGTGAGTGTTATTTAAAAATAGAAGCGTACTGATGAAAAAATCTTTATCAAATTCAGTTTATTTAATTATACACAATAATATCTTTGAGTTCATATTTTATATTCTATATAGCCAGTAATAAATAAATAAATATACTATATATAGCAGTTGCTTTAAAAATTTATAGAGGATTATAATATGTATAGAAGTTGGGAGGAGTAATGTGTAAAGCATATACTGCATGACATGACATATGACATACTAGAAGTGTTGCAAGAATAACAATAACATTCCATGGTAAAAGGTAATCTCTTGCCTATTCACCCATTATGAAATGATAGAATCCTTCAAGTTATAGCTACAGAATTTGAAATAGATGTCGAAAGAAGAACTGGCTAATATATAGGATTATAAAAGATATCATATTATTGGTTTGCATACATATGTACTTTGAGGTGACTGTGATCAATTATCTCTATCCTTATACTGTTTATTTTAATCCCTAATGAAGTAAGGGAAAACAGTTATTTTCCTAAAGATGTAAAACAAATGTTATTTCTAACTTCAGTAAGCTGTAGCTTAACTCTTCACTTTCAGTGTCAGTTCCCACTTCTGTTTATCTTGGCAGGATTCTCTTTGTCCTTCTCAGTCATTCAGTGCTGAGAGTTAGTGTACTAGAGCTGGATTAACCATTATATAATCTAATGAATTTCAACAGTCAAGCTTAAATAATATTTGTTGAGCTTGCATTGTAATGCAATTCTATATATCTCAAGGGTGGTTGGTAAATAATCATTGTGTATTCTAAGGGACAAGTAATTATGAGTCAATACTATTATGCAGTTTAAAGTTATAACAAACATAGCATTCCTGTGATTAGATTATTTAAATGTTTTTGACCAATTCATGACTAGTCAAATATTTTGTTTTTTCTTCCAGAGAAAATCCAGAGACTACCTTTGATTTGGTGATACAAGTAAAATGCCAGGCTTCTGAAAATGAAGGTAATGCACATACCTTTATATTCTGCATATAAATTAGTTGTGCAAAATGTAACAAGTTATATTTTTAATGTAGGTAGACTAATATAGTTAGGAAATGTGCTTAATTGTTTTTTATTGTTATTTTTAGTAGTAGAACTATATAATTATAGCTTACTACATTACATATGTTTTATATACTATTATTAGCTGTAGCAACCACAATAATATTTAATTAGAGACATACAGTTTGCTTTGAGCGTGTGCTTTAGCCTTTTTTCAATTTGCACATTATAATGGATTCCGTAAGTTGTGTTTAGCAGTACATATAATTATGATGTTTAAGCAGGAATTCTCTTTGGCTATGTATGCATAAGCGTTTGGGCTGCTAGTTTAAATCATTTGGTTGCCATTACTATTTTAAAAACAAGTGGATATTGGTCATCTTAGGAAGGAGAGATTTATGGATAGTAAATGCTTTATGCTTTATCTACTTAGATCTGGTAATCCTCCTTAAATACAAAATAAAATAAATATTTTTCTCAAGGTGTCTTCCCAACTAAGCTTTTGCATTGGTTTAATCTTTAATTTTTAAAGTTGGGTATGGAAACAATACCCAATTTAGATGCATTGTAGAGAATATGGATTAGCTAAATTGTAGTCCCCAATTTGTGACCATTTGTTCAGCAACTGTACAGGATTATGATGTGTTGAACAAAGAAACGTATGATCCCTTTCCGAAGTTATGAATGTTGTAGGACCCTTGCTGTCATGTGGTCAAAATCTGGGTTAGAGTTAGAGGACTCACCTATATGTCCTCTTAGCTGCCCCTCCCCCCCGCGTGTGGAAGTTTATCTCAACCTTGGAAGCTTTAGCCTGCTCCATGCCCACTTCTCTCCACCCCATCATGCCTAGGTCAACTTACTTTTGCAGTGTTCTGTAGTTGCTGATAGATGCACCAAGCTGATATGCGGCACAACTTTCTGTCATCATTGGCCTTGCACCATTCGTTAAGCGGATTTCATTCTCGTGGAAAGTATATTAGAGCCAAATAATTTTATAAATCAAGGGTTTTTTTCCCACCCAAAATATTTTTCTAGCATAAAATTGAAAATGTGTCATTAAAACGATGCTTCAAATAGGGCCCACAGACTTTCTTCAGAAATAAACATAGTGATAAATACAAACTACACCATTGCTTGGAAGTGGGTTCACATTGCCCGAAAGACATAAAGAGAACCTGGAAGGTCGTGACAAATATCTTGAGTGACTAGAGTCTAGGGAATAATGGAGAACATATTTATCAGCATGATTTCTGGTAAACGTTTTTTGTGACTGGCCATGACAACCAATGATAGTAGTTTTGTGAATGATCAGCTTCTCTCCCTATGGCTATCATGTTGAAGGAATTTTATGAAATACTTTCAAAATCCAAGTGGATTGACTGACTCTCCCACCCTACTTAGGGTTACTGATCATTTAATTGGCCTTCTTTCATCAATATTAGATTGGAAACAAGTACCATAGACACTCAGGGACATACAACCCCTGATAATAATTTATTTTTAAAAAGGATAATGAAGAGAATGAAATAACTCTGGTGACTGCTTGTATTAAATGGAAATTTGAAATCTAGTGAAATTAAGTTTAAGTACTTGCACCTTTTTCCTTTGTCTATGTAGTGTAACAAGCTTGGAACTATCTACTGTTTTGGATTGGAGGAACCTGTTATTTGTTTGGGAAGTGAAATAGTCTAGTTTCAGGCTCTTACCCTCTGACATTGCAAGACAAATTTGTGTGACTGATGATTGAGCCATTTATGAAGTTTTAGGCTGAGCAATATGGGAAACAACTCACAAAAAATAATTCTACTTACAGAACTCTTAACTGTCATATAGGAAATAAATTATGTCTGTGTGTGGTAATAGTGGGAATGTACATTGTAAGGAAGGAACTTCAAAGATAAATTATTCCAAAAGTAAGATTTTGATGTTTGCCAAATGCCCTAAAGCTGATATTTGGTAGTTAAATGAACAATCAGTTAAATATTGGGGGTAGGGTTTCACTTCTTGGATGAGTGTAGGTTCCATTAGGATTATATTAAGCAAAATGCCAGAAAATTGACAATGGCTCTGCAATCTTTCCATTATTCTAAAGGGGTAAGATTTATACTGGCTGTTTTTAAAATATTTACAGCAAATATTTATGCACAACTCTTACTTGGTGTTCACACCCATATAGCTCTTTTGCTCCAATAGAAAGAATACAGCCTAAATTTCTAAGGTTATTTTCTAAGTGGTGTGAAGTGTGCCTAATGTGGTCCTTTGTCATGAAACTAGTATGATTAGAGTGGAAACCAGCATGTGGTTATGTATATTTTCATTCTGATTTAAATGGCTTTTTTTTTTTTGCTGTAGGCTGAGGTACCTCAACCCTACTTGATAACTTGGAAAAGTTAATTAAAGTTAATTTATAAGAAGTGGCAAAGTCATGGTTTTTCACAGGACATATTATTGATGATGATGGCCTATAAGTAGGTGGCATCAAGCGACATGTTAAGGATAAAAATTCAATTAAATTTGTCAATCCTCACTAAAAAAAAATGTAATACTTATTTTCCCTTTTTTAGACCAGCAAAATATTTAAACCAAATATCTATCTCTAAATTTAGGGGAGCACTAACTCTAGCATGTTTTAATGCACCTAACAGCTATCCTTGAAGGAAAGTTCAGAGAAATTCCTTATTCTTTAGGACTATCCTTGTGGTGAAGGAACAGTTGAAATGCAGCTCATGTATTGTTGCATTGCCCATTTTATTTATTTATTTGCATCCCAGCATTTATTATTTTTACAAATAACTTAAGCGCTGAACATATCCAACACACTTTCCTCCTCCTCTTTTACCCCACAACAATAATCCTGAATTGGGGTAAGAAAGGGTGACTGGCCCAAAGTCATAAAACGCTTATGTTTTACATCCTCCATATTAACTAAATTCCTGGATCATTTGAATTTATTTTATATTCTGTTGCTAGATGACCAATATGATTCAGTCTCTTTGAATATGACCAAATTTTGTTTTATTTTTTATAAAAATCACTGTAACGAAAGTTACTGTTTAGCTTTAACTTATTTTATAAGTTCGGTTTCTACCTTTTAGGTGGAATTCTGGTCATTGATTGTAATAAAGGCCTGACTGATGAGTAATGGTGCGGGATTTGTCCTTTCTGCTCAATGAGCCACATTTAAAAATCTTATTAAAAATTCAGACTGATGTTTCCTACTGTTTTGAAAGATGCTAATGCTATATATTCCTGTGGCTGATTTTAGGCTCTTCTAGCATTTTATGTCTCTGTTGCCTTTTTTTAAAAAAAATATTTCACTTATATGTATGAATCCAATATAGAATGCACACATTCATCAGTTACCCAGCTTTAGCTTTAAACGGATTTTCATGCTAGGATAAGCGTTTGAATATATCATACTTAAAAATGTGACCTATTCATTGTCTGTGCCTGCACTCTTTTCTTCTTTATAAAAGAGATTTGTATTTTAAATGGGTGTTCTTTTTTTTTTTTGTATCCCATCTGCTTGCTGTGTTTGATCTTGCTGTGAAGTAGAGGTTAGTGTATGACATCACAGTCACAAATGTTGCTGGGAAATATCAGGAACAGAGAATATTGTCTTCTAACAAGATTAAGCAACAAGAAAGACTGGAAGGAAAAAAATATGCTCAGACGGATAATACAGCTTTAATATTTTGCTGATACTTTCATTATTTTTAAAAAATAATTTTAGTAAAGAATTAAAAAACTTGTTATCATGAATCTACTTATGTTCTGATAGCAGACACTGAGAGGATCTTTGCATTAGTTAATGTACATTAACAGTACTTTGCAGCCTGTGTTTTTTGTTATGCATAGTATTTAGCTATTCCTATCCTTCATATTGCATATGATGGAGTGGTAAACTCAAGAAGGTTTTCAAGTTGGAAGAATACATTTTGGAAATCATTTTCAATTTCAGTATAACTTGAATATAGATCATCCAGATTGTGCTTTTAAAAAAAAAGAAATCTGAATTTAATCCAAGGCAGATCTTTTTTGTCAAGTCCCTATGCATGAGCATACCCATGAATGACCCCCTTTCCCCCCATGCAATGTTAACATCTCCATGTAGCCGTTTTGGCTTTATGACTCTTAGTTTTTAATAAATTGTATAGAAATATGTGGGTGTGTAAAATGTTTTAATATCTATTATGTGTGCTACCAGTTATAGCTGATAGGCTTGGTGGATCGTAGCTTCTGTTGGCTGGATATTTTATTTATGACTTGAGGAAGAGTGAGAAAAATGATGTGGAGAATGCTAATGGTTGTATAGTAGTTAAAAGGTTATGCTAGAATTGATGAGACACAGGTTCATGTCCACTATCAGCTATGGGAGCTTCCTAAATAATTCTGGAGTAGTCTTACCAGCCCAACCATCTTATAGGGCTACTGTTATGAGGAGATTACAACAGCACGAGAAGGTAAAGATCTCCAAGTAAGCCACCCCCAACTCATGGAGGAAAGGTGGGGATATAAAATTGACAAACAATTACTCATATGTGTTAGTGTCATTGGTGTCAGACTGCTTACAATTATTTAATAAATATATGTTATTACTATAGTTTTGATTGGTAATTTTTTCCTGAGAATTTATAAAGTGGTGCTATTTCTCAAAAGAGCATTTCTCAAAAATGTAGTGAATCTTTATGACTGACCATGCCAAGTAGCAAGATTGGGTTATGTCGGGGGTATTAAACTCGCAACGTCATGTGACGTATCGCAGTGTATTGCGTCTTTTTCCCCATTGCCGGAGGTGGGGTAGGCACTCCCCGGCATGATGCATCCGGCCCATGGGCCGGCAGTTTGACACCCCTGGGTTATGTGAATAAGTAAAGCCCATTTCTTTTACAAGCAATATTAACACTATTCAGTTTGACTGGATCACCTGAGAAAGTGGAGGCTGCATGAGAAAATTCT